ATCTGTGTCCAACATTTGTTATCAAATTGGAATATATGGATGCAACTGATAAGTTTACACATAAGAACATGTAGTTAAATTTGTTGGCAAACTTACAAATCCCGCCGCGGAGCGCGGTTTCCATAGTTATTATTATTTTATCTCTATAAAAGAACAAATAACCAAGTTACTATTGCATATTGTCCTGTCACAAGGGTTTTTTTTTGTAATTAACCAAAGTTTGTGGTGCCTTTTTTGCAGTAAGGTTTTAATTAATTCTTTTATGACAATTGAATCCAGATTGAACCCAAATAAATTGATATTCGATCAACTTTGACCCGGTTAAAGCGAGCTTAACCCGATGTTGACGAATTTTGCATCAACAATGAGTTTTTCACGCTTAAATTTCTTAAATTAACCAAAACTTGAAAGAGTTCTTTACATTAAGGTTCTAATTAATTAACGTATGACAATTGAATCCATATTGAACCCAAATCAATCGGTATTCGACCTACATCGACCCGGTTAAAGCAAGTTGAATCCGGTGTTGACGAATTTTGGCTCAACGAGTTTTGCAAGCTTAAGTCGATGTCCATTTCTTTCGACCTAATGTCGAACTGGTTAAAGCGAGTTGAACCCTGTGTTACCGAATTGTATTCGACTGTATTCAGCACGGGTTTGATTGGTCTTTGCTTGCAAATTTTTCGTTGTGTCGACCTTGCAAATGTTTTGGGTTTCTGTTTTTGGATTTTGTGGCGAGTTTTATCATCATTCCCTCGACCCAGTTAAAGCGAGTTGAACCCGATGTTGCGAATTTGTTGCTAACCACAGAGCCTTTTTTGTAGGTTCTAATTAATTAACTTATAACAATTGAACTCGAATTGATCCCATAATCAGACTACACTAACCATTTCCGCCACATTTCCTCGACAGAGTCTTCACGACCATGGTTTTACTTAGGATGTGCATTTTGTTCTAATACAGCAAGGGAGTTTCCAGGTACTGCTGATTTTTGGTGTGAAGAGAATGGCCAATTGATACCTCAGGAAACCCAAAATTGGTCAGTTTAGCATCAAACAGTTTTTTCCCATTACGAGTTCCAAAATCAGTTAAACCCTTAATTTCTGACACATTTTTCCAGCTACAAAATCCATTTAGCGGTGGGGGACATTACTGGTTCCGCATGATTCATTATGCTTGGGAAAACCGCTGAATATTTGCTTCATCATCAGTTTTCCTCTCTGTTTCAGTTTCATTATAGTCTCTGTTTCGCTCTCTCTTGCTGATTTTGTATTGGTTTCTTTGTTCTCTTTGTTTATCACAGCCGGCAGATTTGAGAGGTTCAGTGATGGTGTGGAGAAGAAGCTAATCTCCAGGATTCCTATGATAATCGGTGTTTTGCGTGACGGTTTGGAGAAAAATCCGATCTCCAGGTTCCGTACTACAATTGGATTTCAGGTGACGGTTCTTTCTGGGATTAGTTTGTTAACTCTGTTTTCTTCCTTTCATGGTTTCGTTCTCATTCTTTCTTCTTTTGGAGGGTTTCTTCGTCCCCTTTCCGAGGAGGTTGGGTCACCGAGGTATATTACAAGGATTCCGATGGTAATTGATGTTCTGCCGTGCCTTATCCGTAACCTTATGAACGAGCAAAAGCGAGCGATGGGTGGCCGATATGTCAACGGAGTTTTTGTCAACTTCCTATTCCACTGCAGGTTCCTTATTCTATATAGAAATTGACAGGTTTTTCTTTAAACTTTGCATCTAACTTTATTTAACCTCTGTGTATTTTTAATCAAAGTGGTTTTGCGTTGTTCTTTTTTTGTTTTCCATCCTCAGTCGTGTTTGGTTGCCTGGGATTGCTATCTGCTCTGATCTCCTTTCTTGCTGTCATTGTTTGTGTATGTACTGGTGATAAAGTATTTTCATGAATAGTTATGGTTAGAGTATTATTATTGGATTCCTTTTAGAATCCAGTGAAAATTATTGTTGTCGGTGTGATATTTTCCTTTTTTCGTCAAAGCACGAGACATGATTCTACATTGCCTATTTCGTACAAGTCAATGCACTTCACCAACTAACGCAGCTCAAACCAATGGATTGAAGTTTACCTTCAATATCCTTTTTTAGGTCCCATGTCTGCACCAGTAATACTCCCACTGAAATCCAAATAATTAGCTCACTCAACAATTGAATAATGCTGGGTTGTGATTAATGATGTTGTTGTTGGTTTTTGTATGTTTTTTATCTTCCGCGTACTGTTTATTTATTACTCGTGAACAAGCGCCGCTGGTATTGAGTCAGAGTCAGACACTGCACCATGTTGCCATTTTTGTAGCCTGAACCTGTTTTCAATCATTGCCAGTTATATGTTTTGATCTCGTGTGTCAATCAACTGAAGGCTGCAGTTTTTGCCACTGAGCGAAGAAAGTGTTGGAAACCACACTTGCAACAGTGTTTATTCAGAAGCTTTCGAAGAACTAGAAGCCACCACTTGGTCCTTCTATCACCAATGCAAGGTATTTCCTTTTCTGATATGTTGTATTTAGTCCCAAATGGGCTAGCTTCCCTTGACAAATTTTGTCAGTCATGCATAAATAACAGAAGCCTTTAATTAAGTGTTATTGTTTTCACTTAATTACAAGATTCTTGAAGATGTGATGTTGCTGGATGGAATAGGTGACAACGAAGGCCGTCCTCTGTTCAACGTACATGCAATGTAAGTACCTGGTGAATGGGATCCATTTTTGATTTTACAATTTGTTTCGCGGATATTGTAGTTTTTGACAAAATCCTGAAAGTAAATACTGTTAGAATCCCAACCCACTAAATTGGTTGTCTATGTCATCTTCACAATTTAAAGTTTAATTGAATTCTCATTCAAGCCAGCTTACATGGTAGTTCTGTGAGTCAAACATCCGAGTGTCAAACGACAATACTTAAGATGTTATATGACGAAAATAGAGCCAGTGAGGTTAATAGAAAATTCATTTAGCTTTTTCTGGAGTTCATGCAGCCTAACACAACTTCCTCTTACAATGAACATTAAAACAGTACAATTTCAGTCGAAAGTATAGAAGGAAACAACGTCTAGCCAGAGTAAAAATTACATAGCTTGCCTCTGCATTCACATGACTATTGACTGGGATATTTTTATCTTGGCTCAACTGACTTAGGCTTTTACCCATTGTAAGGATTTCATTTTACTTACTCATTTGCTACTTTCACCGCCTGCAATCTGCATAGTAGGATGTCATTTGTGGTTTATAATGGTCCCTAACATTATAGATTTTATGGTTTGGTTTTGTTTGTGCCTATAGTTTTATGGTTGCCCATATGCTTTGCTCTACAGTTTGTAGCCGGTCTGTTCTGATGTGGCACCAAGGGTACATGGAACTGTGGATTAGGAGGTATAGCGATGCACAACTCAACTTGCGTGTGCGTTGCTTCATTATGATTAATTGAGGTTTGTTCTTCTGTAACTTCTTCTTTTATTCCCTTTACATGTTCTGTTCTCTAATGTGGTCTCGGTTCTTTTCCCCCCTTTTTGCCAGAGCTTTGCTGTACAAATAGGGAATGAATTGCATATGCAATTGAGAGGACTAGAGTTGAATATTGTTATTCTAGGATGAGGAGGAGAAGGTCATGTTACAGCCAGGTATTTGTTTTCCTATAACGGTCTGAAACTTTGGTTCCTACAAACCCAGTTTTAAGTTTTCATGATGTGAAATAATTTGAATGATCTTTAGCAAGCAACCATGTGGAAAAAAATGAATAAATTTACCATAGTTACTAGATAATTGGTGAAGTTTAATCAAGCGATAAATGCCAGATTGCCTGCTCTCAATTCCCAAAGAGTTGTTGAGTTAGTAAATAATTCATATATTCAATTGTGTTAATTTTATTGTTTTCATGTACCTTATATGTAATTTATAAAGGGTGTTTGCAGCCATTAACTAATTGGTATGTTTTCAAAATGATTTACTCCTCAAACCAACAGTTAGGTGGCCTGACAATTCTATGTGTTCAAATTCACTCTCCTTTCCTTTAGCTATGGACTCTGCTGGTGTTTCATTTCAGAATTTCAGTTATGGCGTGGAGAAGAATTCCAATTTCGTTTTTATTCTCATTTCCACTCTCTCTTTCTGATTTTGTATGAGTGTTTATGTTCTCTTCCTTCGAGATGGGTGCCTATTTTAATCACAAATGCCGGATTTGTGAGGTTCAGTGGCAGTGTGGAGAAGAAACTAATCTCCAGTTTCCACGACGCTTTTAGATTTCTGTGTCACTAAAGACACAAACCGAGAAGCACTGACCTATAAATAGAAACTACTATCTTTTCCCATAAGTGAATTCGGATTTGAATGCTTGTGTTCTTCTCAATCATGTTAGTTTTGTATTATCTATAGCTTACTTTTCACGATTCTCCTTACCCTTCTTTTACTCTTTCCGGATGCTTTTTACCCGAATTATCTTGCTATCTTACCTATGCCTTACATCAAGTTTATTGGGTTTCTCCTAATATCAGGTCCTTGCCTATCTTTCAATCTGTGAAGAAAGGGCAAATCTTTAGCTGACTCCTCACTCCCATGATGAGGTGCTTTTATGCAACTCCTAAGACCTACTCACCTTAGGTTGACCGAACCGTTGCCATCAGTCATTGATTCTCTTTCTTCCATTTCTACTAGAAGATACAAAGGTTAGCTCTTACCTATTCATTCTTTTGGCATAGAACCAGAAAACTTGAAAAACTTATAGACCCTGTAGTCAATAGCACGGTTTGAATGTCTCTAATGTAGTGTTCTATAGGTGATTAACCTGTCACCCTTCTTTCCCTTTAGAGATTTTACAATTTGAATTCATAGTGGCTTGAAACCAAGTGTTTATAGTTTTGTTGCCATTTAATTCTTTGTAATATGACTGCATTTGTAAGCCTACTTTCTCATGTACCCAATGATTATTGGTTCAGGATTTTGGTCATCAATACTGTTGTTTACTGTTGAGGTTGAGGCGTATGAGTTATCTTTTTTCCAGCATGTGCTCTGCTGTTTCAAGTTTCTTTCAGAAAGAATCTCATTGAGTTTGTCTAGAGCGTAGGTTTTCCCATGTCATGGTGCCGCTTTTGCATTTCACATACTATGGTAACCCTTTGCATTTCACAGTACAATTTGGTTTTTGCCAGCAATTAGCTCTTATTTTCCTTCTGGTTGACTGGATAACTTTTGTTTTTGAAACACACTTTATAGTGAGCGGACCTTTGCCGATCAAACTGTTTGAATGTTCTTTTTCAGGTGAATTACATGAATGTTCTAAGTTGTCTATGTTTTCTTTGTTTCTTCTCAACTCGCTCTTGCCCGTGAATTGCAGTTGTTGCCTACAGATGTACAATTCCAGAGATAGAAGCATAGAGCAACACAAATTTGTGCTTTCTTCGTCTGGAATCAAGCTAATTTGGTTAGACAGATTATATCCAAAATACATAGACAGACACGCGTTATGGTATAGAACTTAATTAACATAATAGGGCCATGTATGCACTGTATTTTGCACTATGTAGTTCCTCTATGGCTTGTGGGTTATTGTGCTCTTGAAGTTGGCAAAGATGAATTAATTTACTGGGAATTTTCCTGCTGTACTGCTTGCTGGCCTTTCTTCTTAAGTCAATTCTACTATAGAGTCGTCTACTTATATTGGGTTGTGCAATAGTGCTTGAAGGTCTTTCGCGTTAGAAACATTGGTAATGATCCTTTCTCAGGAAAGTGCGTGTGTGTTCCATGCTGCTTCATCACGATGAGATTTGGAGCGCCATAACGGACAATTAAACTCTTCTGGAAGTCAATTAATTAAGGACACTTAGTTAATTATTATCATTATTATTATGATGAATATGATGGTTAGAGTTGAAACATTCTAATAAAAATATTGATCATGGTGTTCTATTGTATTTACCATTTGATATGATTTATTTGAACGGGCTATTCTTGCAGTTTTTTGGTCCGCTGGAGCCTGGAGCAGAGTTGGTGAGTCTTCATCTTTGCCTTGCTCAGTTGTGCCCAATATCTAATGCAGCCACTCATGTTACAAATTGACAGAAAGTCTTATCCTTGAGATGGTCGGTTTATTAATTTCTACCAGTTTTGAATATGTTCCTTCTATATTGTTGTGTTCAACAGTTCGTTTTGCCTTGCCTGCTTACGAGCCTCCCGTTCTTAGTTCTTTACTCCACCATATTCCCTTTTGGTTTCGTCTTCATGTTTCAAAATTTTCCTTTAACATAATAGGAGGGTGTGACCTTTTTAGTTGTCAGTTGTATATGTAGTTGAATACCAACATAAAGTTATCATACAGATTAAAATAGTCTATTGAAATATTTCAAGGATGCATAATTTTTGACACAGCTTTTATTAGTTCTTTGAGAATTGGTTTTTGTCTTCAGACAGGCTGCACCAACTGTGGTACAGGAGAACAGAAAGGGAAGTCCGACTTTAATAAAGCTTTACTTAGCAGCAGGAATACGCTAGCGCCTCTCAATGTAGCCTGATGGGAGCCACCCTGATTTCCCTTTGCACAAGCTACAGTCGTGCTATTAGCTTGACAACTTCAAAGTGTAGTTATGTTTAGCTCCAGTTGACCTTTTCTATTGTTATTGCACAGGGTGGCATCTATGTTAATATTTATTCAGAAATTCAAGAACCGAATGCTCATTTCGGTGCAGCATTTGTTTTCTATGCATTGAACATGTAAGCAAAGAAATTGTAGGATTCATTGCCTTCCACACCTGAGGTGTTGAGTTGATTACGATATCAGTTGTCAGGTTAAGTATTCATTTGACAAGCTCATTAGTATTTGTTTCATGATTATTGACAAATCATGATTGTTTGATTGCATTATAATAACTCTATTTTCATATTTCCCCCCTCACTTATGAATTCGAAGATCAAACACTCTAATCCTCCCGTCGCGAAGCGCGGGCTTCCGTACTAGTAGAATATAATATAACTAAAATAAGACCCATGTGTATAAGATATAAAGCCCAATACCGTGTAGCCAGGTGGATGTAGCTTGGACAAGCTCTTGCTTGAGACGAACTCAAACAGAATTGGGCCACGTTATAATCCAGACAAACAACAGGGGACGTCGTGCATGAGTTGCATGTGTCCTTTTGGTATTTAGTACTGTACAGGATAAAATCTTCTCTGGCTCTGTGAGATTTCGAAGTTTGGGCCGTCAAACGGTGCATCAATTTATGAACCCTATCTATCAAGCCCATCTTTTCTTCCCACTCAGACAAGAACACAACTACAGACAGTTTTCCTTGAACTCTGCCACCAGAGAACATTTGGCAGGAACTACTTCAATTCCTGTCCCTTTAGGCATACTTTCCATTGGTGATTGGGAGTGGGAATGGAGGATTTTTGGGAATGTAAAAGTTTCCTATATACTTGTGTCATATTTCTAGTTAGGATGACAGATTTTGATTTGATTACCTCGTTCTATCTTGTTTTTAATTAATTTTAGTTTATGTTAATAAATAGAAGTATTGGAAAATTCACCTAGATAATTGACCGAGATCAGCCAAAAAATTATTCTATCATGCTCTGATTATGTGATCATGAATAATCTACTAGGCTTGACTTTTAGTCTCCATCATGAATATTATTTTGTAATCATGCTCTGATTATGTGATCATGAATAATCTACTAGGCTTGACTTTTAGTCTCCATAGTGTTTCAAGACACATATGTACAATTGTATTAAACATATCTTGTTCGAGTCATCAAATTCTTGCTTTTATAGAGATATATCCACAATCCACAGATAGCAAAATATCGTGGAGATTGTTTTTAGCTGATTGCTTTCATACCCTCCTTTTCATCTCTTTTTGTTTCGATTCTCCATAACATTTACTCCTGTTTTATTTTCTGCACTTTTCTAAATCATATTTTCCATTGTAATTTATACCAACTATAGAAGGAAGGGGACAGAAATTCTACAAAGCAAACACTCCCCTATTAAGCAAACTGTAAAGGTACAGTATGTCAGTATAGCAAACACAAATTCTATTATGCAGCAATGTGAAATGACATAGGATGAAACACTTGTAAAAGGAAAACAAACAAAAGTGAATTATTGGTTTCTTAAAAGGTAAAAAATGCCATTTTTCTTTCCCCTGTTTTCTGGAATCATAATTGGGTCTTTTGCATTTTTCACACTGAACAGAATGGACCCTCTTGATGGAGGCCAGTTTGAAAGCTCTATCAGAAAAGGGAGCAAGGAATCAGTTTCAAAGAACAGTAACGGCAACTTTACATTGATGCTTTTTTCTATTACTTTCAGGAGCCCCAAATATAACTAACTAATTGAGGAAATTTATAATATAAAAAAAAAGACTCAATGTTTCAGGTTCCATTCACAAATGGCCATCCATCTCTCACTTGAATACAATAAACCCATAACCATAAATTATAACTCCACTAAATTCACACAAGTGCCCCATTTCACCTTTCAAAAAAGCCATCTTTCCACTCTCTTGTCTCCACAAATTCCCTTTTACCTTTATGGTTTTTTAGCCCTACTTAATTAGAATTTTTTTATACAAAGAATACTTAATTAGATTGATGTACCAAAAGTAAACATAACTTGACTGCATGTATACCATAGCTATCATTAGTTTAGTTTATTACTATTTAGGAAAGAAAGATCAAAACCAAGTGCGAAACCAGTTTTTTACTTGGTGTTTTCATGTTACAAGAGTTTGGTTAAATAACTGAAAATTTTGTTCTTTTCGGCATTGCTCTGAGCTCATTAGAGTCGTGATTTGTGAAGTATGTATCTTCTAGGAGCATTGAGGCTGCTGCCAAGGTTGTGTAACTAAGGCTAAAGCAAGTAGTTATATTTGGTGGGAAGAATTTTATGGCCCTAGCAAAACTGCAGGACTCAGAACTGAAGTAAAACCACTTACCACAAGGACTCCATGTTGAATTAGGACAGGCTGCCTCTTGATTCCATCACCACCTCCATTCCCATCTCTACCTTCTGGTATTCTCTGCATGTTCAGTATGAACCCATCTTGGGTTACCACCTGCAGAAGTAAGGATGATCAGCAATCTCCATGAATGCAGAAAGACTACTAATATGCACTGGTAACATTGTACAAGCATCTTACATCAATCTCCTGGCATTTGTATCCATGAACCAAAACAGAAGAAGCACATATCCCAATTGGGGTGGGATCAATCACTACATTTTTGCTCTTCTTCCTCCACAGAGGACCCAACCTGAAGCCTTGGGTTTGATGGGTCATGACCATCATGACTACTACCAAGGAATAGAAGCTCAGTTTGAGCAACTTGGTAAGGCCATGAGGAGCCATGATCAAAGGGTAGCTAATTATGTGATTTGGAGGTTGTAGGATGTTTTATGTTTGTGTTTTTGAGTGATGGGGAGAGGGTGTAATTGGGAAGCTGCTCTTTATATAGGAGCAGAAAAGGTGGATTGGAAAGCAGAGAGAAGACCACACAGAATGTGAAAAGGGGTTTGGAAAAAAAAAATCTGTTGTCTGCTTCTTATCTTTTTGGTTGGGAATTGATAGAAGGTTTGTGTTTATATGCATAACTGAATTGCTTAAAGGATTGAAGACAAAAGGGGCATATGAGTGTATTTCTTGAGGGGTATTCATAACTGAAAACAGTTTTCCTTCAAATGATGGAAAACCAAAAAAGGAAAGAAAGCCGTATATGATTGCTGTAAGAAGATAGTGCTTGGACAACAGCTCAAGCTATTGGAACTTTGATATAGGGTGAGTATCTCTGATGGCAAAAGGATCTTACTTGCGAAATTGTGCAAATTCCATGTCTATAAGCTAGGTTTCACTTAAGGATACGTGTAAGCGAATGATATAAGGTTTGTTATGGTATCCTCCGAAAACTGATTGATTAAGATGACCTAGATTGATTAGGATGACCTAGTTATCTAGGAATGATGAGCCAAGAAGAAAGCCTAATTGTGAAACCTGAAACAGATTTCTAAAAAGGGCCTTGCTGGCTGGCAAGAGTTGGAAGCATATATTGGTTTGTTCTGTTGTGCTTGATCTAGCTAGAGGAACAAGAAACCAACAATGGTGGGGTCCAAAACTTTGATGATCATGATCCAGATTGTAAAAAAACAACAAAATGGTTGAGTGGAAGGGCATCCTTGAGAGGTTCCTGGATCATGATAAAGATTGCAACTTTCTCTTTTCTTTGGCCAAGTTCTTTCATGAAAGTATGATAAAGATTGGAACTTTTTAGCCCATTTCTCTCCAAAGGCAAAGCAGAATCCAGAAAGCTCTAGCATAACTAATGGGATTGGGCTCATGGAGGAATGATTATGGACTTACGGTTGTTTGGATTTTACCCCTTTTTCTTTGATGGGTTTGCGCGGGAAGTCCCAAAGATTTTGAAGGAAACAAACTATGAAAAAGGGTTATGAGAAAGGTGGTGACTTGAAATGATTTGAGAGTATGGTGGGGAGATGGGATGAATTATGGGTTGGGTGCTAAAAAACAGAGGATGGTGTCTTTGAGACTGCCTCTGTTTTCTTGTTGTTCACACCTCATTGTAAGTGTGCAAGTCAGTATGAGTTTGCAAGTGTTACATAACCATATTGACTTCCTTACATTTCATTCTTTGTCTCGATAAATTGAGTTGTTGGCAGAGTTGCTGTTAATATGAATAGTATATCAATTTTTCTCATGCTTTCTTAAACTAGATTGATGAAAAAATGAGTTAAACGTTTGCACAAACTTGATAGAATGTAAGCTTAAAATCAATCTTTAATTGCAGGATTATCATAATTAGAACATAATACATTTCACCGTGGGAGGCTTGGATATTATGGATATTATGTCAAGAACTAATTGGCACATCAATTACTCTAATTATCGGATGGTAGTTAAATACAAACCTTATACTATTCTCTTTCAATATTTAAAGTATTACGATGTGTAAGAAATTGTCATTAAAAATCATTTGCGGTCAGAAATTCAATTTACATTGTCATGATATTAGAAAATCGAGGAGTTTTGAGTATAAGATATTGACTTTATTGGACAGAGTCAGCCTCATTGCTAGAGTGAAGTTTGTGAAATGTTCAACAAGCTTGAAATTTTGGGGTCCATTGTTTTGCTGTAAGTTGGGTAGCTATGGTAGGTGGCAGGTGGGCTAACATACTGTCTGATACCAAGTACAGAAACTTCGCATGTCAGGGGAGAAAAAGAAATTGTCTTTCTTGCAGTTTATTTTGTAGCATTTCCATTTAGTCCATTCATGTGACCCTCCAGAATGGTCAAGAATCAGGACTCAGGTATTCATATTGCTCATTGACTCACTAGTTTATCATAATGCATAGTCCTAGATGATGTCATAGGTGATACAGTTTTATTTTCTCCTTTTCTCTCAATTTCAAGTTATATTCCTCTTCTATGTAGTGCAGACTTCAGAGATCCATTGATTGCTGATCATAAGTGCGACATAAGTGTTCTCACTTCTCACTGTCTTGAGTTGTACTGGGCCTTCTATTGATTGCTGATCATCAGCAATTAGGCCTTGTATTCTATCGAAGAGTGTACTGGGCCTCTGAGGGGTTGGATTGAGGATGAAGGGCACAGGAGGCCTTTGTCTTGAGTTCCTGATTTTGCAATCTCCTAAAGGCTCCAAAGACTAAAGAGAAAGGTGACCTCTGAAACAAGCAAGCATGTAGTAGTAGTATTATACTATTATGGTCCCATCTATCTTGTGCCCACATCACATACATGAGAAAAGAAAGGTGGAAGATCATCTTTCTGGGGACACATGATTTATGTGACTACAAGCTTTTCTCACAGACGTCTCATATAACAGCTTGCATTTTAGTAGCTTCTGGACTTGGGAAAATCCTTATAGCCCATCTCCTTCCTTTTTCCTGAGATCAGCAATCCTTATTGGACACGGACTAGGATGTGCCCTTTTGCCTGTTTCCTGGCAAATTGTCATTTCTCAACTTCTATCAAATTCATCACCTTTGGAACGGTTACCCTTTTCTCCTTTCACAAGTAACCATCACAAGGGAATGAGATGCATGTTTTTTTCCTTGGATAGCAAGCATTACTCGTCAACAGAAAAAAGCTATATGTGAATACTCTGCAGGATTCTGACTGCCTGCAGAAGGATTAAATAAAGATCTCTTCCTTGTAGTTATCATAGATACATGAAGATCAATGTCATCACCAATACAAGCTCATTATTTGAGAGTGACTGATATATCCTTCGGAAACGAAAGAAAGAAAAATCTATGAGCTTGAGGATGTCACATAACCTTCACTAGGGGTTGATGATGTGAGAGGTTTTAATCCTCCTGCAGCCTCAACTTCATTTTCATGTCCTTTAGTCTCATGGGGGGTACTATACATTATCTGGCTGACAAAGAGTGAAGTCGTAGAAAAGATCGATATACATAAGCATTGTGAACCAAGATGGGTGACTTCTTCGTTAAGCCACACCATTTACTGCCACAGCTGCTGGGGGGCTCATCATCTTCTTCTTCCTATAACTAAAACTATGGCAGGAGACCAAGCTTGGGAGGCAACCTTGCATCGACTTGTTAAACCATTTCTCTTCCACTAGAGCTTTCCCATTGGGAGTCCTTTCGCTGCTGCAGACAGAGTTGACACCGGAGATATATGGTGTGTCCTCCGCAGATTTGGGAGTGGATTCATTGTCTTCTGTACTGCGCTCCCTCATGCTGTCTTGGAAAAGTTCAGAAAGTCTCTTCTTCTTCTTCCCTGTAGGGGATGGCTCTGGTATTGAATGATCAGGAGGTGTCACCTCGAGCACCGGTTTGTTCCTTTGAGGGGTTGGCTCGGGTATTGAATGATCAGGAGGTGTCACCTCGAGCACCGGTTTGTTACTTTTAGGGGTTCCCATTGCAAAACTGTGATGAACTGGAGTGCTCCCACGAGATGGCGTGAAATCTGTGTTTAAACAGACAATCAGAAACGGTTATGGAATATCTTTTTGAAAGAAAAAGGACTATGAAGAACACACAGCATGGAAGATTCAGGCTTTCTTTCAATGATGAACATGCTTCTCCATTTTCATAGAGATAGAAGTGAAGAAACAAGCAAGCTTTCCAATGATGTGGGAGCTCAAACAGTTAAGGTTTACATACTGCCCCTGACACTTTGGAAATCGTCTTCCCCATCAGATTCCAACCAGGGCTGGGAATCAAAGAATGTATCCTCTTTACTGCCTGTAAAAGTAAAAATCAACTTCAGTAATCAAGTAATAAGAGACAGAAGAAAGGAACTTAAAACGGGCATAGTAGCATCCTTAGAGTAACAAACACTCCTGCTTTTCCCCACTATATCACCAAACACATAAAATCCATTTACTTTTTCCACCATAAATTACAAAGACAGATGTTAATGTTTTTCTCAACAGAAAGACAATTCTGAGATCTGGTAAAAATATCAATAACTGAAACTTCTCTCCCCACAACCACCACAACTTGTGACTTGCTTCTTTCTTCTACTTTTGTCAATTCCCTTGAAGCAGAGGAATAATGGGACACTTTCTAACAGACAATTCAATGTGAAACCCCAAATGAGTAGTGGGGGAACCCCAACCAATATGTTGATGGAAAGTGGAGCAATGATATGGAGAGACATGCTTAATAAACACAAGAGCAAACAAAATAAAAACCATAGATAACCTTTAGGACTAATACAATCATAAAGCACAACCTTTCACTAGATTTACAAATATGACCTGAAAACAAATTTCTTCCTGTATAAATTTCTAACAAAAGAGTGGGATCATACGATATGACATACGACTTAAAATGATGCATAGTTTCAAAATATACTAACAACGTTGATTCCATTGTCGATTATAACTAAAACTTGATGAAGTGTGTCAATCATTTAGTACAAGAATATCAAAGGAGATTGTCTAGACAGCACACATTATATGAATGGTTAACAAACTAGCACGAGGTATGATTTTTCATGAAACCCTCCATTTTCATGTGGACCACTATCAACCAACAATCCACCTCAACCTCATTTTGTTGGGTACTTCTAGCAACCCATCTTCCATTAATTATGAAGATAGACAAACCAAATATGATGGCCCCCACTTAAGGATGGGATCCTTAGAATACATTTAAGAAATCAAGCATCCATAATAAATGGGGGCAAGAAAGAAAAGAAAGATCCAAATGCTTGAGATGACTTGTCCCGTTAGGCTTTAGGGATTCTTCCAATAAAGTCAATTGTCTATTGCTGAGAGATTTTTAGGCCTAATTACAATAAACCATCCATCACCGATTCACAACAACCTCCCTCCATTCCTCCTCCACTATCTCCTCATGGTTACCAGATTCAATCATTCAGATAAAACAAAACAACAAAAAGGAAAGGGAATGAATCATAGCAATAGCTTATAGAGAATTCTCCAATAGAAAGATTAGAACTTTCATATTGAAAGTCCTCCAGGAGCAGCTAGATCATAATAGTACTACTTAAGAACACAAAGCAACACAGCCTGTAAGGAATTCAGTGGAAGATTCTCAAATCTCAATCCAACACTTTTTACTCTTCCAAGAATGCAAGCAGAAGTCACCGTGATTCAGAAAACACATCGCAAGAGAAGTAGAACAATACAGGGGAAGAAAACAATCAAAACCCCAGTTGGGACCAAAATCAAACTCTTTCTTTCTAATCGAAACACAACCAGAATCATTCAAAGAACACACCTTTGACTCGTAGTCAAGCGAACCCATTACTCAGTTCTTCAAGATCATCAGACCCCACTAGAGCAAACGGGGGGAAAGGGAAACAAGAAAAGCTCGAGAAAGACAAATAAAAAAGCCCCTCTCGATTTGGGAGCAAGGTTTAAACAATACCGTAGCTGTGGAAGCGCTTGATTGGAAGGTCGTCGACGGTTACGGCGGAAGTGACGAGCTTTTCCTTGACAGGGGATTCAGGGAGGACGACGAGCTTCTCGAGCTTGTCCCCTTTGGAACTTCCAAAGGAAACACCCATTTTCATGGCGGACTCTGGCGTCCCAGCGGCCTTGTGAACTGATACACATGAACCCATATTCCTCTGGTTCCAATCTGTTTTCTGCCAAGAACCGACTATTAAGCTTCCAAAGCCACGGTTTTCACTCTGATCATCAACGATAAAAACGTTTCCTTTTTCTATTTCGCCTTTTTTCTTCTCTCTCCGCGGAGAGAGAGTGGAGAAGGAAGAAACAATGGCAGAGAATCAGAAAGGAGAGGCGGAGAAGGGGAAGGAGAAGAAGCGTTTCTTTTCAAGGAGTTTGAAAGTCGTCTTTGGTCCAGACTCCAGAATTATGAGAAGAGACTAGTCACTAGAGAGAGTGAAAGACGAAAATGTAAATGTAGCGAAAGGGTAAAAGCCAAAAGGTAAAATTTTGTACGGGGAGATTAAAGAGACTTCTGTCAGTTTGTTTTTCTATTGCCATTTAACCTTTCTTCAAAAATTACTTCTATTTTTACTTTCCTTAATCTGTATTGGGAACTTATTAATTTGTGAGGATCACTAGATAGGAGATATTTACAAATTTGTATTTTTTTATCATAAACTCGTGTAAGTTATTATCAAGAATCATTAATATTATGAAATATTTTAAATTTCAAGAGTGTCATATAACCGTCAAAGAAATGTTTCATAATCTAGTACATAATGTAACTCTATGAAATTATATGAATTTCTATTAATCAAACAATCGACCCAAAATTATCTTTCTATAAACATACATAAAAAATTCTAACAAATTTGATATTCATAATTGTCGTAAAACTAGAGCACGAAACGAAATTAGTGCGATGATGTCTTCCTCATTTTTACTTGATTTCTTTCTTCTCTTTTTCTTTTCCGGACTTGGTCAATATTTTTCTGTTAATAAAGGGCTTGTTTATTGTTACTTGTTCTGTTATTAACGTTGGTAGCTTCAACAATTCAATACAAACGTTACAATACTGGTTAAGTTGGTAACCAACTAAGTATTAAATAATAGTGTAAATTTAACTAGCTAGTGTGAATAGTTTTGCATAGTAATTATCACTAATGATGCTTACTGTTTGGCCGGAATGAGAAGTCTTTTTATGGCGTTTCCAATTCCCCCTAGTTTTTGGTGCAACCTCTTTCACGGTTCTTTATTAAACAACTGATTGAAACGTAGTACTGAAAAACAGCTTATCCAATGTTAAGATGCTTTATGGTGCTTATCTAATATGGGTGTGGCTAAGATTATGTGGCTTCCATCACAAGTAACCATGTTTGAAGACTTAGAGTTAATCGACATGTAAAAAACAACGATTGTAAAATGCTGAGGTTGTACCAAAAAAGTTAGCAATAAGGTATTTTGTTCTCAAATCGTAGTTTAATCGTGTGGTTAAACTCTGAAAATCGCCTACCTATTTAATTTTTGGTAAGAGGTTTGTATAGAAAAATTGTAGGTAGATATCGTTTCACGAACACCGATAAAAATGAGGTTTTTTTAAAAAAAAATTATGATAAAAGATACAAGAATTAAACTTCAAATTAACATTAAATGAAAGAACGTGCACGACATCAATATTTACATAATTCGTGGTATTCAAAACAATAATAATTTTCATTAACATTATTCACGTATATTTTCCTAGGTGGATCTTCATTGAATTCGAAAATAAAGTTTTTTTCTCAAATAAGACCAGCCTCTCAAATCCCAATCAGCCGACTACAAATTTGTTGGATATTTTTATGAAAATGAGAGATGGGTGGATTGATTGATGGAGGCTGACAAAAAGTTTGTGCATATTTAGTAGTGATTGATTAGCTTTTGTCCAGCTCTATCTTTCCACAAGTTGGCTCACTTATGCATTTGTTTCTTTGGCATTTTCTACAAAGAATACAAGTCATTTTCTTATATTTGTGTAGGTTAAAAAAAAACCCTAGTCTCGTATAAATAGATTGTTACCAGTATTTTACTTGAGGTTAGCTATGAACAATATCAAATAAAGAAGTGAGCCAATTCGAAGGTTATTCAAGGTTAAAATTTTAGAAAGAGACGATGAACAAGTAGAAACTGCTTATGTATTTGAGTGTTATACATAGATATTTTGTGAATTTTTCGAGCGATATCCATCATCTGGATGTTGCTCATGTTTTCCTTAGTTGCTTTCTTTGTTCTTATCCTAATTTTTGGCATTCCCATTTGAGATACCTTGTTCATATGTCACTAGGCATATACTTACTAGTGTATTGTACATTTTTGCGTACTTTTTAGAAGCCATCACAAAATATATGAGTCTACCTAGATATGATGCTAGAGCCATGCTCGATGATATCCAACATGATGGCATCCCATTTGCATAAGCATGAATTCATGCTCGATGCTCACAAGCTCGTATTTGTCTATTAGCTTAAAAACCTCTTTAGAATCTATGAACTAGCAAATATGTTAGATCCTATAAATTTTATGAATTTACTAAATTTTATTAGACATGCATCATTTCCCAAGGCAATGTTTATAAAAAATTTCGATTAGTTTGTAACTTAACAGGTTTTAATCTCAGAATGACCAATGATCCGCCTAATCATCAGCTAATCATGTCATCAATATGCTAAACATGTTTATTTAATCAAGTTTAGTGGGGGAAAGAATACTAGAGTACAGTTGTGGGGGCTTGAGTGACCTATGCAAAAGAAGCCCACCAAATTGGAAATCAGAAAAAATAATAATATATAAAATAGTAAAATACCCACTGATTTTAGATTTGATTTTGGGGTTAGTTATCACTTTGTTTGAGAGTTTCACCTACCATACCAATCTCATCACAACAAACTTGACTTTTGAGAATTCCAGTGGCAGGATTACATTTTCGCATGATTTTTTTTCTTGTGCGAATTTCTTATCCCCAATACGAGAATACAATCCTTAACTATTAGTTGAGTGATATAAAATACCAATAATTGTATGATAGAACAAACGAATCTTTATTATTAATTTAGGGACCTAAACTTATTCGCTACTCACGCCCATGACTGTTAGAATTTTTTGTGAGACTATACTGGACTCAAACTGCATTTCAATCACCAACTTAACAATTCTTGTAGATAATTCACTCTTCCCCACTAGAATTATTGTAGTGTCGATTAAAGGGGAAAAATGGCTACTTTACTAGATTCACAAAGATTTATAACACTGTGCACATGCCCATTAGAGCAAGCAAGTGGCTTAGCTTTATGTTTGATAAAGTTGTGGCATAAAGGAATTAATCCTACACTGATCTCCATAACCATTGCTAGGGGTGTTAGTCGGTGGGGTTTCGGTTTAACCGCACCGAAATATCGGTTAACCGCAACCAAAATTGTCCAAAGATCACTAACCGAAACCGACAGAGACTTCGGTTAACCGAAAACCGCAAACATCGGTTTCGGTTTTCCCTTGCGGTTAACCGAAACCGCAGTTTCTGGTTCACTTTCTCGGTTTTCATTCAGAAACCGACCACCCAAACCCGAATTTCAACCACCTATTTAAATGATTCACCCTCAAATTTGAGTGACCTGCTTTTGCTTCAGCCTCTATAATCACACACCATAAAGTCATCTAAATCAATTGAACATAAAGCCTAAAGCAACCACACAATTCAACCACAACTCCACAACATAAAGTCTACATGCCCACAATTCAACCACAAGTCACAATCACAACAAGACACAATTACACAAATAACAAGTTCATTATCTCCAAATCATCAACCTAAATGATCCGAGGATCTCGCTCCAATTCATCTAGCCCATAGTCATCATTTACTCCAAGATCTTCATCTAGCCCATAGTCATCAACCTAAGGTTCACTCTATCGAGTGCAAAGGGGATTTAGAGAGGGGTGACTTTCGAGTTCTAACTCTTAAAAACATTTGAGACTCTTGATGGAGGGTTGTTTGCAATATGTGAGAATTGGGATGTTTGGAATTGCAACTTTGATTGGTTTTGAATCTTACAACTTTTTCCCTTAGCCAAAGTAAAAAACCATGTAGTCACACTAGTAGGCGGTTATCGGTTTTCTTATCGGTTAACCGCTAACCGATTAATCGGTTAGTGGTTAACCACTAACCAAAATACTACTAACCGAAACCGAAATCAATAAGGAAGTTGCGGTTATCGGTTAACCACTAACCGACTTTATCGGTTCGGTTATCGGTTAAAACCGATAACCGACTAACCGTTTATCACCCCTAACCATTGCTAATGAAGACAATTTTGGGATGGCAAATCCAAGCCCGCACTGTCCATGTACAAATCCGGGCCCACAATGGAGTTTGTTAGCCCGCAGCGGTCCACCAAGCAGATTAGGGCCCAAGGCGTTCTTTCTTCCTTTCAGTCACATGGCAAGGCCCAAGGCACAGAACACTTGAAGACTAGGCAGCCTTAGTTATAACAAACTTTTTAAATATTTGCAGGATTTGGAATTTTAATGAATTCGAAAACTTTAATTCTCATGGTGGTTTAAAACTGAGTCTAGCAAATTTATTAGGTAAATGCCCAAAAATAGTCAAACCTTTTAACTTATGAACAAAAATAGCCAAAGCTTTCAATTTGCTACCCAATTCTCACTCAACACATTTATTTTGTTAAGATAAAAAATTTAGGTCATCAAATACATTTTATAATGTTTATACGTGTTAGTTTATTTTATTGTCTAATACGCTTAGCTAACTATCGAAAGGTTACTTTTCAAATTTGGATTGCACGAGAAGTAAGTTACACAATTGAATAATAAATAATTGATAGTTTAATTTGATGAATAATTACTTTGATAAATTTATGAAAAGAGATGTATAATTAAATAAATATTATCGAAATTATTCATAAATAGGACCCCAAAATGATTACGTATCGTGACAAAAACAATATTTTGGTCTGAAAATACATTTTCTAACGGGATGAATACTGAACAAAACTCTTATCAATACTTTTTGGTCACTAATCAGATTTTGTGAACAAAATCCTAATCATAGCAATAATTTTCTTCGTCACAAAAACCCTCTAATGCACTAGTGAATCAAAATTAGACATATCAGGAAATAAATTACACAAAAAGCTATCAATATGCAATGGAACAGACCTTGATCAAAACAACTCATCTTCAAGGGGAGCTCATCTCTCACTAAAATCACTCTTTTGTTGTTGATCTCTCCTTCCTCCAACGACACCGCTTCCTGATCTTCATCATTCTTTAATAGGTTTGTCAACACTATAGTTTTCCTCTCCAATGTCAGTAGCCGGAAGTTGTTCTTTCCACTTGCCCAAAGATCTCGTTCCCAACTCACTACCATAACTTCTACCTGACCCCCTCCTACTTCCTCGCGTTGACAATCTTGAGCACTCTTCGTCGTCGTCGTTGGTGCCACCACAACATATAAGTTGTCC